GGTATGTTTGTAGCCTCTATCAGCCACAGCTTAGGGAACAGAAGATGCAAGAGTTGCTGCTCATCCAGTTTGAGGTTCAGAGCTCACAAGATGAGATGTGTTAAGGATGTGGAGGAAAAAAAAATCATATGGTGAAGAGTGTAAAAATCCAGGGAAGACTGGCAGTTGCTCTTCCTGGGCCGGGCGGGGGAGGTAGGGGAGGGAAACTGTTGCAATAGTATTGCAAGGCACACAATTGTCACTGAAAGGGTTTTCCAGAGAAGAACAAAAAAATCATGACTGGACAGGGTGTTAATGTGATGACAAATAGTGTTGAAATTTTATGGGAAACTGTGATGTTTTCTTAATCTTTCAGTTCTAGATGAGGTTGCAATAGAACCGTTTAGAGGCAAGCAGTAAAAGGTAACCTTACAAAACTGAAAGCAAATCCCTGAACAAGGTTCTCTGTGTGTTTTGTGTTTGTTGGTGTGCGCTGCTGGACAGCCAGACAACGCAACCCAGGGGCTGGATCCTGGTTCAGTGGGGGGGTCTCTGGGAGCAGGGGTTTGCTGTGCACCTTGTGCAGCCCCTCGGCAGCACGCGGGAAGATGCGGGATGTTGGGGACATAAGCTGAAGCTAAGGCAGATCTTCCCAGACCAAAAGCAGAGCTCAGCCAGCCTCTGCAGAGCCACTCGAGGACGAACCAGGAGGCTGGCAAAGAGCATCGCAACAGTAGCATGTGACAGCTGCGGGGCAAGGTAAAATCTGTACTGCTCTATAGCTGAATGCGTGAAGCCCATCTGTGGTGCCAAGCTGGGAATGAATAGTCAGATGACATCATATATATGAGTCCCTTTCTCAGAGCTAGGAAGTATTTACAAGGATTTGGCCAAGATAACGGGTAGCCCAGAGCTGATGTCACTGACTTGGGAATTCCTGGGAAGGGAAGTTATTTTCAGAAAAAGCACTTGTACATCACATTCCTGTCATACAGGCCTTGGAGGAGATGCTCGTTTACACTAAGCTACTGTTTCTTTGGGTGGAACACAGGTCATGTTTTCACAACTGCCTGTATGGTTGTCTGGTACACGCAAGAGCATCATGGTCTACATGACGGTAGAGGCTCATGCAATCGGCTTCTGTGGGGCATCCAAAAAGGAGTTAATAAACCACAGTCTGTTTAGTCAGATCTGTGAGTTGCCTATGGCTGGACCAAATAGAATGTCTCAAGTCTTGCAGTAAAAATTGCCTGGTGTTTGGTTTTGTTTTGTTTTGTTTTTTTCCTGAGTGCAGATATTTCAAAAAGAGCATTTTGAGACCTTTCGTCTTCAATTACCTGCTTTTTGGTGGTTTGCCCAAAGCTTTTTACTGAATTTCACCCTGTTGCAGGCTAAAAATCTTATTTCATCACCAGGAAAATCATAGCAAACTTCTCTAGCCTTCCCCAGACTCTGTCAATACATGGGTGTAAGATGCAGGCTCTGCAGAGCTGGTCCCTGTGAGGAGGGTCTGCAGACCCCTCTGCACTCATTTTTGGGGAAACAGGGACTTCACTGTGCCACCGCTAATGAGCTTGAGATGTAGTAGCAGAAACTGCAGAACAGAGACATAGTGACATACTGGTCACTTTGCCTGAGCTGTGATACTTGGCAGTAAGGATGCTCGAAAGCGAGCCCCGTCCAGCGTGTGGAAGGAAGGGGGTCCCTGGCAGGGGGTGCCTCACCCACCTGGCACCGCGCGGGAGAAAGCGATGGATTCAACCCAAAGCCGAGACACAGAAATAAATACACTCCGTTATAATAAACCGGGTAACCAGCCACAATGTCCGAGCCTTAACAGCTTTTTCTTCATGTGCTCAGGTGCAAAACTATGAGGAGTCCCTCTGGTAAGAAAGAAATGAGGCGAAAGAAATGTGACTCAGGGAGGAGAAAACTAGCGGCTACGTCTCTGTCCCAAGGAGAGAAAGATGTCATGCACATCACATTTGAGGAACTACAGTTCTTCGTGTTTGTTTTAGCTAAACAGTTGGGTTTTATCCGGTGCAATTACGGCTCCGGGAAGTCTTGCATGTCTGGTTCAGAAAGTAGCCATGTCAGCAGTTTTAGTTTGGGTTTTCAGCTTGTTCCAGGGCGTGTTCCACAAAGTCCAGCTTCTTTTAAAGTCTTTTGCACAGGATATAGTTTGTTGGGACAAGCTTCTTATCTTCTGTAATTCCTTCTCCTTTTGGTAATAATTGTCAGGCACACATTAACCCTGGGCATAACACCTACTTTTGGATGTATTTTAAAGATACCCCTACAGAGCACACCCAGAAGTCAGTCGGAACAGCATCAGTGCTTCACAAGCATCCTCAGGTTTGTTTTCCCTTGCTACTGAGTGCTTGACTGCGTAGTCATCATACAGCTCTTTGACTGTGAAGTGAATCCAAGTGTGGAAGAAAAGAAAGAAAAATAAAGGAAAAGAGAAAGAAAAAAGGAAACACAATCATTAAGAATAATTAAAAAGAGCATTAGTCATAAAAGTTGAGAGAATGGTAAGAGAAGTGGGGGGGACAGGGGAATATGAAATAGAACTGGGAAGATCCTGATAGTCTCTGTCCATTCTTCACCCTTCACCCAGGTCAGCAGTGAATGGACTCGTGATACAGCAGAAAGAGGATCCTCGATGACAAAGGACAGAAGAAAGGGAAGTGTTCTTCACTTGCATTCTGGTTCCAGGAGTGTGGGGGTCTCTCCCAAAGTGCAGGGAAAGGAGGACAGACCTGCGGTTCTGGGAGAATGGGAGAAGTCGTGTGGACGGTGGTGCTGGGGATGGCTTTCACCAGCTGCAGCGGTGAGTACGCGCTTCAGGGTACAAGAACAAAAATCAGAGTGCTACGACAGCAGGGAGTATCTTTTGAACTATAGCATCTTAATTTTAAAAAACTGTCAAGGGTGGGAAGTCTTTAGTTTCTTGTATGAAAAGTAGAGCCTGAGAGTTCACAAGAGTGCTTTGGTGTCAGACGCAACAAGGTGCTTTTAGGAGTGGAGCAAACAGGGCAGTGCTGGGTGAAATGTCAGCTCCTGTGGCCCAGAGCAAGAACAAACCAGGATGGTTCAGGATGCTTGGAGAGGACCTGCTCTGGTGTGTTAGCTTCCAAAAGTCTTTGTGAAGCTGGAATATGCATTCTTCTGGAATTTAGCAATGCATCACTGCTGCTCTGCCAGCATGGTCCTGGGAAGAAGAGGAGATGTAGCTGTGAGACTAGGTGCACACACAACTCCCCGTGGTCTCTCCCAGGCTGCTGGCTCTCTAGGGGCGTTAGGAGGGGTGATACTGGAACCTTTGCTTCGATTCATATGCCCCTGAGGCTTTCGTGCCAGGGGCACATATGACACTGACACTGGCAGAGGAAGGTTCAGGAGAAAGGCGCTTTAACAAGGTGCATATGGAAGCGCAGAATTGCTCCTGACACTTAGAAAAAACGTCTGGAAGTATGTTCACCACTTCATCATAAACAGAAAAAAAAAAAAAAAAGAACAACAACAACCAAACAGCAGGCTGGGAAGGAAGATGCTCAACCATTTTAGAAAATGGGCCAGAATATGACAGTTCAATTTTTTTTCCATTATCACTCACTATACATAACACAAATCCCTCTCATCAGTCTCTAACACAGCCCTTCAGGTTTTCACCTGGTCCAGCTCTATTTCCCTCCAGTGGGAGAACTCACGTTGTTTCTCTGGAAGACTATATCCCAGTTTGAGAAGTGATAACTAGGAATAAATACTTCTTTTAAAAATGCTGTCTCAGGGATTGTTATTTTGCTGAGTTTCTCCCTTTCCTTCCAATCACCTCTCCTTTGGACTCACCCCTGCTGATGTTGAAATTGGTCATATACAGAGCGCAGCGGCTCCGCAGGGAATCGGTGGATGCTGGCAGCTGTTTCATGGCACACAGCAATGCAAAACAACATGGAGAGATGTTTAAACAAAATTGTGTCCAGATGAGCACACTGGATAGCAAACATACTTGAACTTGAGTGCACCAAATGCCTTAAGGGTATTTCTGAGCAGTTTAGCGTCCACCCTTCTTAGTTTTTCTTGGTGGGAGTCTGTGAAAAGAGGAAGAAGAGAAATGGAAAACCTTCAAACACTGATACATCAAAGGGTTGTATGTGACTGGGATGTGAGATTTGAAGAATGGAGCTGTGCCAGCCCTCTCAAAGCCATCTGGCAAAGCAAAACCAGAGCTCCATGTCAGAAACAAGCTCCAGCCGTGCTCAGACTCAGCAGTGCCCTCGGCTAACCCCGGGGACACAGATCCCGTTAGCGCTGGGACAGGCTGTGGCACAGAGAAGTGCTTCTCCCGGTGCAGCCATGCTGCGGGGCCCTGTGAGCACCAGGGAAGCTGCATTAAAAATACTGAGGTTAATGAATGCAAACATGTTGCGTTTGTTGTTAATTGCAGTGAAGCAGTAAACTTGCCTTGTTCACCCTTCCTCCCCTACAGAAGGTAGAAGTCAGCCCCGGCAGCGATGTCAGAGCATCCTGTGTCAGGTGGAAGCTGTTGCTCTTTGACTCATCGTGTGCAAGCGTTAGCAGAAAGCCACGAAGCAGAAGTGGGTTGTGAAGGCTGGGGCTAGAGAGCAAGAATGAGAGATAGGAATGAGAGATGCTCCTTGAAGTCTTGCGAAGGCTGTAGCTGTGACGCTGCCCCCAGCAGCAGGATTTGTGCCTCTCTGTACCGAGAAGGAATTGAGAACTGACGAGTGTCCAGGGAGAAACAATAAAAATAGCCACGAGGTCCAGGCAACTGTCCACTTCCCTGTGTGCAGGGAGCTGGGGACAGGCCCTTGTTTGCTGGCTGTGGTCCCCGGCACATCTGAGACATGGCCGCATGCTGGCTCCCACCTCCTTGTGATTCCGTCTGTCCTAGGGACGTTCTCCTCTGCTGCCACATTCTGATTTCTTCCCTTCAACTGTCATTCCCTGCAGCCCTCCTAGATCTGTCTGGTGTCCACCAGGTCAGCAGCACATGGATGGGATCCACCACTTTGCCGTGTACCTACGAGCCTGCAGAAGGTTTCACCCAGCAAACCCTCATCTGGAGCCTGGAGCGGGACGGCAGCAGCTCTGCCATCTTTTGGAGGGATGACTCTGGTGACCACGTCTTGTTGTCTCAGTTCCGAGACCGGGCCAGCGTCCCAAAGCACAGCCCTGGGGATGCCTCGCTCCTCATCGAGCACCTCGAAATCCCTGACAGCGGCCACTACACCTGCCAGGTCACCTGGAGGTCTAAAAACAACAGCTTGGTGACAAAGGAGGTGACCACTATGGTTAAAGTTGTCAAAGGTAAACCCAGCAATTACGTCCTGCCCTTGTGCATCCAGGCTGATCCCCAGAGCCTGCAGGAGAAGCAGCGCTGGTGGAATAGTCTTTAACACCATAGTGCCTATCTGCATCCGGGCTGGACATGTGGCATCCTCCTCCCTGGCTGTGTTAGCCCTTCTCCACTCGTGGAGGTGTGGGATGGGCTGGGGAAGGGGGATCGGTCAGTGCACACCCCTGTCTGGGTCTGCTGATGGGCCACTCGAACCCGTGTTTGATAACATCCAGCTCTGGCTTTGGCTTTGTGCAGGCAGCCAGCATCTCTGTGGCTCTTGTAGCAAGTGGGTGTTATTCTGGCCAAATCCGCCCTCTCGTCTTCCTGGGCATCCCCAGTGTGTGCCAGGAAGAACTGTCTGTAAGGGAGGGGGGCACCCAGGCCACTGAGCGGGGCTTGTGTGACACGGCAGCAGCAGTGTGGCACAGCTGGTGTAAACCTGGCTTCAGACACTGGTGAACTGAGCTTAACCTGAGCAAGGGTGACATGGGAGCAGTGCCCCTCTTCCCCCCCCCAGGAAAGCAC